ACCTTCATTTACCTCCAGTCCTTTCGAAGACATGAGAGGATTCACACCGGAGAGAAACCCTACGAATGCAAACAGTGTGGGAAAACCTTCATTTATCCCCAGTCCTTTCGAAGACATGAAAGGACTCATGGTGGAGAGAAACCCTATGAATGCAACCAGTGCGGGAAAGCATTCAGTCACCCCTCATCTTTTCGAGGACACATGAGAGTGCACACTGGAGAGAAACCCTATGAGTGCAAGCAATGTGGGAAAACTTTTAATTGGCCCATATCTTTACGAAAACATATGAGGACACACACTAGGGAGAAACCCTATGAATGTAAGCAGTGTGGGAAAGCCTTCAGCTTATCCGCTTGCTTTCGAGAACATGTGAGAATGCACCCTGAAGACAAATCCTATGAATGCAAGCTATGTGGAAAAGCTTTCTATTGCCACATATCCTTACAAAAACATATGAGAAGACATACTGCAGAGAAACTCTATGAATGCAAGCAGTGTGGGAAAGCTTTCAGTTGGCCTGAACTTTTGCAACAACATGTGAGAACGCACACTGTAGAGAAGCCCTATGAATGTAAGGAATGTGGGAAGGTCTTCAAATGGCCGTCATCTTTACCAATACATATGAGACTGCACACTGGAGAGAAACCTTATCAATGTAAGCATTGTGGGAAAGCATTCAATTGTTCCTCATCCTTAAGACGACATGTGAGAATACACACTACAGAAAAACAGTATAAGTGTAATATGGAACATCTTCCTACAAATGAATTCATGTGCAATGCTTCAGAAAAGTCACACCAGGAGAGAGATCTGATCAAAGTTGTAAATATGGTGTTGCCTTTATGAGTTCCTTATCCTGAAAGTGGACACTTAAGGAGTGTGTCTGTAGTTCATTTGCAAGTAAACATTTAGGTGAAAAATAATTCTCCAGATACTCTTAGCTATTCTACATGAATTTTAACAGGTAGTTTCTTTTCTTACAATTCAGTAAATAAAACTTTCATCTTAGAGTGTTTTGGACTTATGGATGATTTGAAGTGCATTTTTAATATGCAAGTAGGTTCAAGTTTTATTTAATGTCTTAAATTGTAACTGACCTAGTGTGGCAGGTATTGGATATCACTTATCTATTATATTTTCCACCTTTCTTACTGGGAGTATTTTTATTGTTTGGCCAGAGGACCCTTATTCCATTTTCTAAGAAGTAGTTGGCAGAATTTTGTAATTATGCAAAGTTGTCTAAAGAGTATAGTCTCAAATGAATTGTAATTTTTAATGTTTGCCCTTTGCTGTTTGTCTTTGCTTGTGATTGTGAATTGGACAGTAGGCTTTGACTTGTGATATGACAGAGAAATCCAGAGTTCCAGATAGTTCTTCTGCATTATTATGTCAATGTGGGTAATGTTAGGAACTTCATTTGCTGCAATGCATTTCCTTTATGGTTCCATGTCCAAATTTACCAATAGCAATAACTTGAATGAAATTTAGAATGAAGAAGAAGTCATTGCTGAGCTTTTGAGGTCACATTAAATGAAGACAGACAGATGCATAGGGGCTTCGTGAACATCAAACTTCAGCTTATTTTCCAGATCCTTGTTCCTGCCAATTAAGAGTACCATCAAAAGAAACACTTAAGTGCTTGCTTTCCACTGTGTCAGAGGTGTAGTCTTCCACAGACATCTCCATGAACTTGGTATCAGGGATATGCCTGTGTGGTCAGTCACCTACAGTCTGGATTTTTCTCAAAACCCTGCATGACCTCTTGACCACTGAGTCAGACTGTCTTGTTTGGCAGTCTCTGAGCTTCTGATTCTCCCATTCTGTAGATCTTAACGTATTTGCATGGGATCTGATTTATATAGTGAACACTTTGTTATCGTAATACTTCCAGTGGCTCTGTGATCCTGATTCCACCACAAAAGCCACAGTGTTGCAGCCAAAGAAGAAAAACAACACGGCCGGGCGTGGTGGCTCATGCCTATAATCCCAGCACTTTGGGAGGCCGAGACGGACAGATCACGAGGTCAGGAGATTGAGACCATTCTGGCTAACACGGAGAAACTTTGTCTCTACTAAAAATACAAAAAATTAGCCAGGCATGGTGGCGGGCGCCTGTAATCCCAGCTACTCGGGAGGCTGAGGTAGGAGAATGGCATGAACCTGGGAGGTGGAGCTTGCAGTGAGCCGAGATCATGCCACTGCACTCCAGCTTGGGGCGACAGAGCAAGACTCTGTCTCAAAAAACAAAAAACAAAAAAAAAAAAAAACGAGACTTTGTACCCTATTGCATTTTTAAGTGTGCCAACCCAGTCCTATGTGAGAACAAATACCTTCGTCATATATTAGATTTCAGGAGATTTCTGTTACTCGGAGCTAAATGCAGTTGCTTGATATAGATTAAATTATTAGGTTTATGTGTCATTAAAAATAATGTGGATTTTGTTTCAAGGAAAACCTTCTGTAGATATTTCTTAGAAATATCCTATTTAGCTGGGCACAGTAGCTCACGCCTGTAATCCCTGCACTTTGGGAGGCTGAGGTGGACAGATCACTTGAGGTCAGGAGTTAACATGGTGAAAACCCATCTCTACTCAAAATACAAAAATTATCCAGGCATGATGGTGAGTGCCTGTAACCCCAGCTACTTGGGAGGCTGAGACAGAAGAATCGCTTGAACCCAGGAGGCGGAGGTTGCAGTGAGCCAAGATCGCACCACTACACTCCAGCCTGGGAGACAGGGAAAGACTCCATCTCACAAGCAAAAAGAGAAAAAAATGTCCTATTTACTGTGCTTTCAAATTAGTTGTTTAGAGACTATAGTAATTTCCCAGGGCTGCCATAACAAAGTACAGAAACTGGGTGACATAGGAAAACAAACTTTTTGCTTCTCAGTTCTGGAGCCAGAACTCCAGAAACAAGGTATTGGCAGGAGCATGCTTTTTCTGAAGATGCTAGGGAAGGATCTGTTTCAGAACTCACCTAGCTTCTGGTAGCTCCTTAGCTTGTAGCGGCATAACTCTAATTTTCACATGGCATTCTCCCTGTGTGTGTGTCTCTCCATGTGGCAATATTTTTGTACATACACACCACTCATTGGGTTAGGCCCCACTCTACTTCAGTATGATTTTACCTTAACTAATTACGTTGGCAACAACTCTCTTGCCACATACTGAAGTACTGCGAATTAAGATTTCAACATGGCCGGGCACGGTGGCTCAAGCCTGTAATCCCAGCACTTTGGAAGGCCGAGACGGGCGGATCACGAGGTCAGGAGATCGAGACCATCCTGGCTAACAC